TCTGTCTCGGACTACTCGCCGATTGGCGACGAACTCCTCTTCCACAAGTACACCCTCTGCGGGTGGCAAGAACCCGACTTGCCGTTCCAGCCGTACCCTGCGTGCAGCTTCAAGAACTGGAAGACAAGCACGATTGAGAACGACCACATTCTATTCCGCCCCGAGACGAGCGAGATCCAATATGGGTTCATCAACGCCGACGGCCACGTGGGTCCGAACGAGTTTCTCATCGACAATGCTCAGCTGCCGCGCCTCATGGAGTGCAACGTCAAGATCCCGTCGCCCGACAACTTGACGCCCAACCGCATGGCGGCCATGATCTGGTCGTTTGCCGAGAACGAACCCTCGGACCTCTCGGCGTGCGTGGCCATGCCCCGGGGCACGACCGCGCGCTGGTCCTCGCACGACTGCACATCGAGTCGGGGCTTTCGTGCCGCGTGCTATACGAATGCGACGACCGAGAGCTCGTTTGCGCACTGGACGCTCGGTGACGTCTCGGATGGACACCGGGTCACGTGCCCGAATGGGTATGCGTACGGCGTGCCCAGAAATGGGTACGAGAATCGGATCCTCTTCGACTTGCTCTGGAATGACAGCCCGGACGTGACAGCCGGTATCTGGATCAACGCCAAGCCCTTCTTGGACCAAATGCACAACAAAGCGCCCGTGTACGACTATGACCAAGCCAGCCTCGCGTCGTGAGGATCGCCGTGCGGCTCCTGCTCGCGTTTGTTTTCCATGTGACCCGATAAATACTTGATGTTCATGCACGCCATCACGCATCACGCCGTAAGTGGACACGACGGGAGTATATGTGGAAGACGGCGCCGGGTTGCACCTATTGAACAAGTCCGTAGTCTGTGGCATGACGGGGGTAGGTTGGAAATTGTCGCTCCCATGGCCCAGGGTATCAAGTTGATACAGTTAAACCCCAGGCCAGAAGGACACTGAAACGACCGCTAAAAAGAGACATGGCGTTCGCTGCGGCGCTTCACTCGGCGTACGAAGCGCGAGCCGCGCATTTGGACTCGGACGACGTCGCCGGTATTCGCTCGGTACGTAGAAGCTGGTACGATGGTCGACTGGAATGCTCAACTGCTAGCTGTTTACCTTTTACGACACCAACATGGACGGCAACGTCTCGTCCGTGCAAGCCCTGCGCATGTTCCAGCTCGTACGTCGCTTTTGATTAGCTGGTGTCTTCATTGCCGTAGCTCGGGCTCACGGTCAACGAAGACCACGTGAACGAGCTCGAGTTGCTTTCGTTTGCGGGTAAAACTTGAACGCAATAGCTCCTGCGACCGTGCGAGCGCGGTAGAGTTTCTCGCGATTGTCGACTGCCAGTACAAGGCCGCGCGCAGCCTCGACGAGGGCAGCCACGAGTGGCACCTCTTGGACCATTTCCGGCGCGATCACGTCACGCCGCACCAGCTCTCTTACTTTTTAAAGAGCTGCGACATGACCATCTCGGACCCGCACCTCGAGCGCTTCCAGGACCTCTACGCCAAGTACTACAATGCTTCCTATTACCTACTGTCGAGATTGCTTGCGTGACGTCGTGACTAGTGCGGACGAAGCGAGCGCGGTCTACCGCTGCTTGGAGAAGGACGGGTGTCTCAAACTCCTCAAGGATTTCCACGCAGTCGAGACGGACCATGACGCGTTCTTGCATGAATGTGCAACATAAAAAGTCTGTAGTCAGTCTACATACTATTGAACATAATTGTCTACGGCGCACGGTGGCGGCGGCGCGCCTTGGACTTGGATTTCTTCTGGGTGGCGCGCGGGTTGGTTGGCTTGGCCGGGCTCGGCGCCGGCGACGCCGACAGTTGCTCAAGGAAGCGCGCAAACCCTTCCTTGTCAATGACCAGCGGATCCGCCTCAGTACTATATCCATATTGGTTCGCCATGTACAATGAAAATAGTGACAAGTTGTACATGGTCGAGTTGGACTGCTGCGCGAGGAACTCGAGGATCGACTCTTGCGGCACGTCCAGATTGCACGAGCGGAGAAACTCGTGCAGCTGGTTGTACGAGATCGTTGCTTCTTCCTTGGGCTCGACTTCCGAGACCTCGATCGTGGTCGTGGCCGTCTGCGCTTCGAGCGTGCGCATAAACTCTAGACTCTACTCTCAACAACTAGGATGAATCCAGTTTTTTGTACCATCCAGAGGGACGTCTTCGAGCTGCTTGATCTGCGCTTCCGTGAGGTCGAGGCCGAGCTACGTACAGTTGTCAGAGACTCTTCAAAAGCTGCGGTATGGTACGAGCTTGAAAACGTCACGCGCTTGGTCAGGCGACAAGTTGACGTCGTCGGCTTCGTTGTCAAACAAGTGCAAAAGCTATATCAACGGCATGAACTTATGGATCATGACGACAACGCGCCTACCGGTTCCATGGTGCGAAGGGAAGGATGAGCTTGGCGCAACGTCAAATGGATTCTGGCATGCGTTTACGGCCGCCATCGCTGATCTTCGATGTTTTACATTGTCCCGTCGCGCGATATGTTCGTTTTTCGAGCGCTTCAACGTAAGGTTGCACGCAAGAGCGTATTGGCCAGTACCTATAAGCTTCGACGGGGTTGCATCAGAGCTTCGACGGGCTCAAGCCATTCAGAGCCGGCGGATCTGCCACGTCCTGACGATCTTTATTCATGGTATCATTTTTAGTCAATCCATATCATAAAGGCTCGGGATTGGTGGAAATACATTGAAATGCAATGTCCAACGACCAATCGGATGGCGCCGCCACTTTGCACCGCCGTTGTGCCATGCCCGATGGCAGCGGCAGCAAGGCATGCTCGCACCGTCCTAGTCGAGGCCATCTCCGCAGGTCGCGATTGCCTGTTGCTGC